TCCTGAATTTTGATTGTAATTCGGCGACAATATAATAAGTATTGTTCTACTATTATGACACCACTTTCTGACGTTCGATTGTGTTCATACCGTATGATCGGGAAAAAACGGCGTTAGTGATGGCTATGAAATGAAAATCGCTGTCATTTTATGTGTAAATTTATATGGGAAATGTCATCGATCGTCTTTTCCCAGCTAACTGGACGCCGTTTTTTTTGGTATCATACGGTATTTGATATATACTTGCGTATTTTTCATGACATTGCAATATTATGGTACCATGAAGCATATCAAGTGATACCGTAATATAGTACCATATTACGATACATGGCGTTCGATTGGGCTTAAACTTGGTATATTACGTATCTTCAGTGACATTGTAATATTATGGTACCATGAAGCATATCAAGAGGTACCATAATAGTACATAGAGGTACCATATACGATAGAGGTACCATATACGATACCATTTCCTGGCGTGCGATTGGACTTCTACTTGGTATAGTAAGTATCTTCGGTGACATTGTAATATGATGGTACTATGATGCATATAAAGTGGTACCTTAATATAGTACCATATTACGATACCACTTTCTGACGTTCGATTGGGCTCATATTTGATTATACTTGCATATTTTTGATGACATTACAATATTATGGTACCATAAAGCATATCAAGGGGTACCATAATGTAGTACCATATGACGATACCATTTCCTGGCGTTCGATTGGGCTTAACTTGGTATAGTAAGTATCTTCGGTGACATTGTAATATGATGGTACTATGATGCATCTACTATGATGCATATATAAAGTGGTACCTTAATATAGTACCATATTACGATACCACTTCCTGACGTTCGATTGGGCTCATATTTGATTATACTTGCGTATTTTTGATGACATTGCAATATTATGGTACCATGAAGCATATCAAGGGGTACCATAATGTAGTACCATATTACGATACCATTTCCTGGCGTTCGATTGGGCCCAAATTTGATATACTTGTGTTTCTTTATAAAGATTTGTATAATTAATAATTTTAATTTATTTTATGAATTTTAATTTATTGTACGATGTCGTGACAGCAACTTTTATGCCGAACTAATATATTATTAATTGTACCTGTGTCACTTTTAAAAATCTACCTAGGTCTATATAAATAACGTGGCAAACAGAAAAAAATTGTTATTATAGTATTTTTTTAGTCAATTAACATTTTTTGTACTGCATTTTAATAAATCATTTCCATTATTATTAAACGTATATTTCATTACTAACGTTTCAGCATTAATAAATATCACTATCAATCGCCCTGTATATTATTAATTTTAAAGGTAGTTAAAGTTATTTTCTTAGTTAACATAATAGAGTAGTGTATATTAAAAATGTATTTTGAGAGCATATGCTTTCTAATAATATACATAAAATTAAAACTATTTTAAAAACCAAACGAATAATTAATATAAGCGTATCTGACGAGAAACGAAGAATAGAAAGAAATTATTATACACGAGAAAAAGAATGGGATGCCAATTAAAGTCTGTTTGAATCTGGCAACTGTGCATTTTTAGCCGAGCTTCAAGGCCGTCGACGTGCCGTCGATCTACGTCGATCCAGAACCGAAAGTTGAAAATTTCCAATTATATTCTGATTATGATATTGTTGCGCCATCTAGTATTTCATTTGTGCAATTTTAGCTCTTTCATTTCGAGTATTTTTCTGTTGCGTAGCTAGATATTCTGTGCTACAAGATTTGATTTTTAAATGGCACTCTCGTTACCTTATTCGATAGAAAATGACACTCAAATATATATTTGTCACATATCATATATCAACTTTTGACATTTTCGAATATGGTTTATTTGAAATTGCAACATGCGGTTCATAACGACAATTTGACTCAAAATACCAAGTGTGTGGCTGTGGTGTGTGGTATCAAATTATGTATTCGTAAAAAAATGCTTTTTCCAAATATACTAATGAGCCACCCTAGTTTCATTTGAAAAAATTGAGATATGATTAAAAATACGATTTGGGCATATTTTAACCGGCCACGACAAGACATTAAAAACATTAGATGATCAAATCTATTTTTTCAAAGCTCCTTGATTAAAAATTAGTGATTTTAACACAGCCATGGCACTTTAGATTGGAATTTAAAGTACACTTTTGTTTTAAGGGAAAATGTCGTTGACAAAAAAAAGTTGACATATGGTATGTAATTCTATTCAGAGTCATTTTCTATCGAATAAAGCAAGAAAATACCGAGGGTACCATTTAAAATTCAAAAGTTATAGTCATTGGCCGAAAAGAATCGGATACGTCAATCAATCCTAATTTATGTCGTATACTAACATATCAAGGTTCGTTTTTTAACTGAAAAAAAAAATAAAAAAGTTATAGGGATCATAGGTGTGAGCCACTTTTGAGACACACCCGGTATATGAAAGTCATGTGGCTCTTGGGACAAGAGTATACTCATGATTTTAGAATTTTTTTTTAGAATGCACACCACTTTTTTTAACACCACTGCACATTGTCATTGGTAGATATGCCAATGCGACAATGATTAGAATGTCACTAACGGAATTAGTACTGGGAGAATTGTCAGATCAGGGGCTTGGAACACCCTCAAAAAGGAAATACCACTCCTGCAACTCCCAGTGGACGATATGCCAAGAACGTACAACTTTGACAAACATGTCAATGTAGTATTGAGCAATAAGAAGGATTGGAAGAGCGAAACGCTTGCCCAGCAGTTAAAAAACCATACCATAACTTGGTATACTGATGCTTCCAAAACCAATACGGGAATAGGGATCGGAGTGTTTGGGCCGAAAGCTAAATACTCCGAACCAATGGGCACTTACCCTAGTATCCTACAGGCAGAAATCTACGCTATCGAAAGATGCGTACAACTTATCTTCGATAGGAACTATCGGAAACAAGAAATAGCCATCTTGTCTGATAGTCAAGCAGCGTTAAAAACGATCAACTCAGTATCAATCAATTCGAAATTGGTCAAAGAATGCATAGAGAAGCTGAATAAATTGGGCAAAGAAAACAAAGTCCTCCTACTCTGGGTGCCTGCTCACCAAGGGATAGAAGGCAATGAAAATGCAAATAATCTAGCTAGGAAAGGAGCGAACACTCCACTAACTGGACCAGAACCGTTCTGCTTTCCAAGTGGTAACCAACTCAAGGCGGAACTCAAGAACTTGGAAGATTCCATCCGCAACCTGGAATGGAAATCTTGCAACGGTCTAAGACACTCGAAGAAGTTTCTGAGGGCTTATGATCAAGAAAAATCACAGATCTTCCTGGGTCTGAGTAAGAACAATCTTCGGATTGTCACGGGGTTTTTAACAGGACACTGTCTCCTCAATGAACACCTCAGTAGATTGAAACTAAGAAGAAACGGCGAATGCAGATTCTGTGGGGAAGATGGGGAAACACCAGTACACCTCATCACTGAGTACGCCGAGACGACAACCATTCGTGCCATGAATTTTGGTACGACTGATATTGGAGATGGAGAACTGCCCTCTATAAAACCGTCCCAGATACTGGCTTTTGTCAAAGCCCTGGGACTGTATGATGAGTTATGATTCAAGAAAGGGGGACACAATGGATCTGTAAGGTCGAAGTGATTAACCCCCATCCCACTCATTCTAAATTCTAATACTCATGATTGAAGAGAATATTTTTATTTGTATAATGTGGTTTGTAGTAGGTATATTTCATTATACCACAAACTACATTATACAAATAAAAATATTCTATAATTTTTACTTATTCTAGGATTTTTATAACTCTAAAAATTCGATAATTCGTAAAATTTTCATTTCTATCGAGTGTTCTAAGACCTGCTATAAAAACATTAGACCGCCCTGTATTAACAAAATATTTTGATGTTGAGATATCCACGTATCACCTCGGTCTCGTAAAACCAAATTAAAAAACGAATGCCTTAAAATGTTTTAGAGCTGAGTCACAACGAGCTATAATTTAGATAGATATCTTTATTATTTATTACAAAACCTATATATATTTTATTAGGATATTAGTGTCACTTAATATTTCACACTTTTAAACAACAACATTTCTAATCACATATGCAGGGTTATTTACGGTTGATGGTAGGTTAGCTGTTTATGGAGAACCAGCGTTAAGTGTGGCAAAAATAATGCAAAACGGCAACAATGGTTGTTTTTTTTTCGATAGCCACGTACCCTCCAACAAACTTTTTTTTAGATTTTAATTCATTTAAGTAACATCAAATACTTATTTCCGCTGACATCGAAAAGATGTTTAGAGCATAGACTAATTTTAATCAACGGATATCAAAGGTACCTACCTATTTCGCTAAAAAAGTTTTCAATATTTTATAAGTTAACTATGGATGGGTTTATATAATAAATCCGTCATGCATCATCTCTTGTTCGTTTTTTAGCCAGTCTAATTAGTTTATTTTAAAAATGACAGGTCATATTTCAATGTGATTGAAGTGACAGAATGATGAACAACGCACTGAAGCAGATGCGTATGAACTCGACTTAAGATTTTTGAAACTTGTCAAGATTTTGTCGAGGCTTTTGTCAAATTAAAAGTTATAATACATTTTTTTTATATTATGTCAAATAAATAGCGTTCTGGAAAATTATAGATAATTTTGCATTTTAGTTAATGTTATTACGCGTCTTTTGCGTTTCTTAAAGTTAAATGGAGGGAAAATCGAGGGACAGTAAGTGTAGACCCAGAATGTTGTATTAGCTACCAATAAAGTTCGTATATAGTACTAAAACCTGGAGTTGCTGTAAAATAAAGACATCGCACAAATGACAAACACATGTCAAGGATTTTGGCCTTGTACTATAAAAATCCAGTTTGCAAAAAATCTATGACTAGTTTTCCATAAACGTCTAACCTACCACCGTCGTGAATCACCCTGTATATCCTTCCAAACCACATAGCTTAAATCTAAACCTACTCACCTCAGTGGTGTGCATCCCCATTGGGGGCGGGGGTTGTGGCGGCCCCATTGAGGGTGGGGGTGGTGGCGGTTGCGACGGCGAAGCTAATAAATTTGGGGCTTCGATTACATTCACGTTAAACCCGATATGCGACACGTTAACTGGGGGCGGACCCGGCACCCCCGTATAGGGGCGGCTAGGCAGAGACGGAGGCGGCGGGGGATAATACCCCATATTTCCCGGCGGAGGATAGTACATACTACCTGAACCATAATAACTATAAGGCTGTTGCGGATATCCCGGAGGATACCGCGGCGGTCCATGCTGACCGTAATACGGATTACCGGGCCAATACGGATTCATCTGACCCTGTTGCTGAGGCGGTACTATGGAAGACGTGGAAACTAATGCAACTTGGTTGTTTGTGTTGGAACTGAAACGAATGTTTTGAAATTAGTTAAGGTATGGAAGAGATAAAAGCTTATCTACTATACGTTTTGATAAAGATTAATGATAAATTTTATGAAATGCGAGACGAATAATTCGTGACAATTTGATTCAAAATCTATTGTTTGAGTAATACAATTCCGATATTACTTATATGTCAAGAGCTTATCATCTGTTGTTTAAATGTGCTATCCTTTAAATAGCCCATATACAGAGTCTGCCAATGCGTCGAGCATCTGTAGCTCCTAGAATAAAAAAATTGAGAATTTTGTTTAAGTGCAGACCTAAAGTATGTACTAAGATGAATTTCAGGAAAATATTTTAACTTCTACAGGTTGGCTCAAAAAAGTGTGAGTGGATCGGGATGATTTATTTTAATTCGAACACCCTGTATATTATTGCATTTTTGGCTTCCTTTCAGATCACTTTACATAATCCTAAGACATGAGTAAATATATTTCGATAGTTTCAGAGATATAAATAAATAAATAAAAACTATATATTATTCAAACTTTCTTAAAAAAATTATTACAAATACAAAAACTGGCCTGAAATCAAAACAATACTAGATATTTACTTTAGATGCTCTATATTTACTTTGCTATAAATATCGTAATCTTCAAATCATACAGGGTGTTCAAAATTATATGCCAAACTTTCCAAAATATAAAATATTTTTTCTTCGTTTTTTTTTGAATGAAACACTCTGTATATTATTTTTTTATTAGATGGAAAATTAAAAAATGAACATTTTTTGTATTTAGAGTATTTCAAAATTTTTAACGGTTTCGCAGATATACCGATTTGGTAATCGAAACTGTGTGTGTGTGTGTGCGGTATTTATTTTAACATGTAAGACAGTGATGTAGACAGCTTAATGTAAAGTCGAATGTATTAAAAAGATATAAAAATTGGGTCGACACATTTCTTCTATGCCATATTGCCAGATTTTGCTTCAAAATTTCAAACCACACAAGTAAACGTTTACGAAAAATGTTGCATCTAGGGTTGGGACTTTATTTTTCACTATTAGTTACTCATATTTCTACAGCTGCAATAGATTATATTTAGTTTAGATATATTATCATCATTTCAGTAGTATACATAAATGTTTTAAAATAGCTTATATTTTTCTACACACATTTTCCTAGAAACTACATACAAACGTAAAAAAACGGTAACACTGTATGACATTTTTGTTTTGTCTCTCTGTTAACCAACTGATCATTGATATTATTCTCTGTCACACGCATTAAAATCCACACCACATAAATTGGATGACCAGCAGGGTATACTCGCGGTATTATTTCATATGGCTCTTTTAACGCTAAAATACGAGGGAAAAATCATTGGGTGGCTTTAATAAAAATTTACTCTGGAAAATGCCATATGAAATATAAAACTGCGAATATCTGCGAAACCATTAAAAATGTCAAAATACTCTTAAATACAAAAAAATGTTCATTTTTTAATTCTCCATCTATTAATAAAATAATATACAGGGTGTTCCATTTAAAAAAAACGAAGAAAAATTATTTTATATTTTAGGAAAGTTGGCGTAGAATTTTGAACACCCTGTATAATTTAAGAATACGTTATTTATAGGAAAATCATTACAGACCATCTAAAGTAAATACCTAATATAGTTCTGATTTCAGGATAGTTCTTGTATTTTTATTTTTTTTTAAGAAAGACTGTAAAAAATATATATCTTTTATTTAAGAAGAAAAAAGATTAAACGGCACAGACTGCAGACACGCACACCCACACACTCACACAACCACACCTACACTAGTGCACACTGATGTAACTGCCTTCAGGCTTCATCAGTACGGTAAGGATTCAGGAAGCGAAGAAACCGATCCTAAATCACAAAAATCCAGGAAGCAAACGATGCAACGAGGCACCGTGTGCAACCCAGGAGATGGAAAAAAATTTGACGAAGAAACGAAAATAAATGATGGAAAAAAAAGGAGCAAACGGGAGCCTAAAGCCCCAAATTGCAGCCAAGAACCAGAGTCGCCCAGGATTGTGGGCTTCGTCCAGAACAGCCGCGGAGGTAGCCAACAGCAACCCGCCGCAATACCCTTAGCCGTGGTACCAATATGAAAGAGAAAGAAATAGTGAGGGAAATGTATAAAAAAAGAAGAAAAAAGATTAAACGGCTCAGCCCTCAACAACTCGTAACCGTATACACCAGTGTACAACAGTGCAGACACGCACACCCACACACTCACACAACCACACCTACACTAGTGCACACTGATGTAACTGCCTTCAAGCTTCATCAGTACGGTAAGGATTCAGGAAGCGAAGAAGCCGATCCTAAATCACAAAAATCCAGGAAGATGGAAAAAAAAATTGATGAAGAAACGAAAATAAATGATGGAAAAAAAGAGGAGCAAACGGGAGCCTAAAGCCCCAATTTGCAGCCAAGTTGCTGTTGGCTACCTCCGCGGCTGTTCTGGACGAAGCCCACAATCCTGGGCGACTCTGGTTCTTGGCTGCAAATTGCGGCTTTAGGCTCCCGTTTGCTCCTTTTTTTTCCATCATTTATTTTCGTTTCTTCATCAAATTTTTTTTTCCATCTCCTGGGTTGCACACGGTGCCTCGTTGCATCGTTTGCTTCCTGGATTTTTGTGATTTAGGATTGGTTTCTTCGCTTCCTGAATCCTTACCGTACTGATGAAGCCTGAAGGCAGTTACATCAGTGTGCACTAGTGTAGGTGTGGTTGTGTGAGTGTGTGAATGTGCGTGTCTGCACTGTTGTACACTGGTGTATACGGTTACGAGTTGTTGAGGGCTGAGCCGTTTAATTTTTTTTCTTCGCTTTCTGGTGAATGGCACTATCGCGGTTTTGTCTGAGTTGATACTCAGCCCGACGGTCCTGCACCATCTCTCAGTGATACGGAGTTCTCTTTGGATAATATCACACAGGGTGCCTTCATGTTTCCCCCGAGCGATCATGCATCCACTACCAAGCTTCACAGCAAAGGGGAGGTTACTCCACCTTGTGGAGTTCCTTGCGTTGTTTTAACAGCTACAGTTTTGGTGCCCATCTGAGCCTCTGCTGTTCGTGTTGACAGCATTTCCCAAAACCAGCGAATAATAGTTCTGTTCACCCCTCTTGTTTCTAGTAGATCGCGATACTCATATCTTAGGATTATGTAAAGTGATGTGAAAAGAAGCCAAAAATACAATAACATATAGTATATAGGGTGTTCCATTTAAAAAAAAATCATCCCGATCTACTCACACTTTTTTGAGCCATCCTGTAAAAGTTATATTTTCCTGAAATACATCCTAGTACATGCACTTAAACAAAATTCCCAAGTTTTTATTTTAGGAACTACAGATGCCCGACGCACTATTGCCGAACCCTGTATAATTTTAATAAGTACTAAATATGTTTCATAATCAATCAATATGTTGAGTGAGAGATACAATAAATAAAGTTTTTATTCGTTCGTCAAACATAGATCAATTATAGAATTTTTTATTAAAATTTCTTAAATACTGAACTCCAATTAGGGTATCTCAATTATTACCTTATATGTTAAAGCCTAGACCACCAATTAAGGATGGCCAGATCTGTATATGCAAAAACCACAATTAAAAATATTTATTTTTAAAATACAAACTATTTTCTATAAAAAGCCATAATATTTTCATCTACAGTGCATTTTTCTTTGGGGCATCAATTCAAAGCTGCTTAACTTTACACAACTGACTATTTAGTAACCAAAAGCATCGACCCCATAAAAATTAAAAAGGGTTTTCTCTTTTTTTCATAATTAAAATATTCAGTATAAAAAGTTTTTTAAAATCATTTTTACAATTTTAGTATGATTCTTTAGAAAATTGATTTGAATAAAATAAACCGAAGTGTTTGAAACGATGTGTCTACATCTAGACAAAGAATCCTTTGATCTAGAGCATGTTTTGACGTCACGTAGAGTACCTACGCTTCTTATGTATGATGTAATGCAAATGATGTAAGAGATTCAGTGTCTATTTTATTATAGAATATAACAGCAAATACATTCATAATTTTATACACACAGACAATCTAATAAATAACACAACACTGGAAATAGTAGAATAATATATATGCATATAAGAAGAATAATATTGTACTTTAAATCAAATTAAAACTTGATCCAAAAAATTATACAGCGTGGGACAAAATTAATATTGAACATCGGTCACCTTTAAAAGTATGTTGCTCTTTTATTTTAAATGGAACAACCAGTATATTATTCCTATATTCAATGGAGAATTCATGTCTCTTCAAAATACTATTAAGATTGCCTACCTCTCAAACAAAGATTTTCCTAGATATTTTCATTTACATGATTTGATCTGAGTAGATCTTTATTATTTGATAAAATCTAGGTGGCTGTGATATGTCTGACGTCACTTCAACATAGCTGTCTAATTAGTCCAACTTTAACAACTGGTTATCATTTTGTCAGTTAAAAGAAAAAAAAATTCTCAGAAATTTGCTGAAAATGCAAACTTGTCCTACATCAGAGAGAATTGATATGATTCTATTACTTGGTGAATGCAGTGTGCATTCACTAATTAACAGAATAGTTAAATGCTCCTGATTTTATGTAGTCTGGGATTTTTTATGGGGATATGACAGTGTTATGGGGATAAGACAGTGTTTACAAAACACGACCAACTATTGTCGACAACATGACAGAAATTATTGTAGCGCTTTTTGAGGTAGAACTCCACATATGCTTTTTAAAATGAAAAGATCCTTTTGAAAAGACAGTAATTTTATGCAGTTAACAGGAAAGGAAGCATTTGATCATTTGATTTCATCTAGCTAATTTTTGTCACATAATTATAGGTTTATGTTTATATCTAGTTTTAATCCTGTAATAATTAAAATATGTTTTAAAAGTGTATCTTTTTATTACCGTTGAGTATTTTACTCTACAATCTTTAATTTTTGTTAAATTAACAAAAGGTATATCACAGCCACCTAGATTTTTTCAAATAATAAAGATCTACTGACGCAAAATCATAAAAATTAAAATATCTAGGAAAATCTTTGTCTGAGGGGTTGGCAACCTTAATAATATTTTGAAGATATATAAATTCCCCATTGAACAGCGGAATAATATACTGGGTGTTCCACTTAAAATAAAGGAGTAACTTGCTTTTAAAAGTGAGTAATGTTCCATATTAATTTTGTCTCACTCTGTATAACTTTTCAGGTCAAATTTCAATTTGGTTTAACATACAATGATTACTGTAATTAAATATAAGGCTATACAAGATCAACTAAAGTTTAGGTAGCTGTTATCGAAATTTAAAATTTACTCTACATTTTCACAATAGTGAAATATGTCAAAATCCTTAGATTTTAGGTATATGCTTCGTTAATAAAACTCGCCTTTATTTTTTTCCTAGAATCCGAAAATCAATTAATATATAGGGTATTCCATTAGAAAAAACACAACTTTGATGTGTAACATTTTTTGGGGACACCCTGTATAATTCTATATATTTTTATAAAATGCTTTCAGTTAACCTACATATGCTGCTAAAATTTCATTTCGATATAAACTACCGTTCTCCTTGGAGCTTCCGCGGCGTATGAGAGACGCTTGGAGAGGCGCCACCCTGTATATTTGGGACAACAGAAGAATTAAGTTAGCATGGAATACTTACTTATGGAAGAAACTCAATCATATTCAAATCTAGAATGCCACTTTATGTAAAGAAAACATATGACCAATGTGTACTACCAGTCATGACCTACGTATGTGAAACCCATTGTGAAACCTGGACACTTAAAGCGGACATCATAAGGAAACTGCAGGTCGCACAACGTTCAATGGAACGAAATAAGCTGGGAATAACCAAGAGAAGCCATAAAAGGAATAGAGCAGATATGACATAAGACCCAGGTAATAGATCATTGCCTGGAAACTTATATGGTGAAATTTTGATAAAATAATTTAGTACACACTAAAAACACGGTATGTCGCTAGCGGTAGGAAAAATAATTTTTAGAGGTTACTAGTTTATTTGGTTGCCTGTGATATGCATATACAGGGTGTTTCCTAATTAATCTAAAAAATATAAAATCGTTAGAAAACGAATTAAGGCGGGCTCTTAATAAGTATATTTATTTTTTTCTCGACAACCGTTTGATGAACAAGAAAAACTCAAAAGATAAATTTTGTTGAAAAAGGATGGCCAGTCAAGAAAAAAATATTTTTTCTTTAAAAAAGCAGTGGTGTACCATTTATGTTAGGCAAAAAATCGATTTTTTTAAATTTTAACACCCTGTAGATCTGAAAGTAAGTACTTGAGACCTAATGGTTATATAAAAATTGTTTTAAGAACACATGAGGAATCACACCATAATTTTTTTAGACTAATTCGAAAACACCCTGTATATTGTCAACTTGACAATGACTGCTGATAAATCAAAAATACCTTTTCAGTGAAAAAAAGCCTGATTTTCGCAGGAAAAATTTTGATTTTATTGAATTTGGGCCTGCGTTTGCAAATACTGGTTTGTTTTTTAATTTTCTATCTATCTAAATTTTAAATATCATAGTCAGAAATAGTTTTATTATTTATTAACTGTAAAAATGGTGTTTTCTTGTTGTGTTGCATTTTGCAAAGAAACTAACAAAACTGCAAAAATGTACGTGTTTCCAAAAGACTGTTTTAAAGACTGTTTGTTTGATTTTTTTTTCGTTCGCTTTAAAATCTATAAATCTCGGTCTATTCATTAAACAGCCAGTCGACTTACGATCATTTACATGAAACTCTGTAAAATAAATAAACAAATAAATTGTAAAATATATATATTCTTATGTTTTATTAAAGTTACTCTGATATACTAATATATCAGTGTAACTTTAAAAATAAATCCTTTGAATTCAAATATAAACATAAAAAACATTTACAGCAGAAAAGGCGAAGGCGCAGGGTTAAACGTAGTCTCCACTAAAAACACGGAGGGGCGCTTTGACCCAAAATTTTACTATTAAGTTTCATATCTATCTTAATAGTAGATTATTTTCTTTTATCTATGGTAATAGATGTCATTCAGAAAGTCAAATCCCTCAAATGGCAATGGGCAGGACACCTGGCAAGAAGAACGGAGCACAGATGGACCACAAAAATTACAACATGGTACCTACGAGGAATTAAGAGACCTAGAGGAAGACTGAACCTGAGATAGGACCATGAAATTAGAAAATTGACAGGGATAACTTGGGCCCGCATAGCCAGCAATAGACAATAACAAGCCCAACTACAAAGAGCGTACTTTGAAATGGTTTATTAAGCTAAAATGAATATGATAATGATACACATAAAACGGACATCATAAGGAAACTGCAGGTCGCACAACTGCCTCTATAATTGTCCCTTTTTATATTGCTCTTAAATACAAACTTCAAAATCGTATTTCAACTTTATCCCAAGCTTTTTCCATATAGATATAATAACCAAAATAAACTCATACAATAAAAAAGAAAACTGGAAATTTCAGTTTTTCCTCCACGTTTTCGGAAATTACAAAGTTCAATTACTATAAATATATCATCATTGGGCTCACTAACAGGCAACTTTGACCCAATTTAAGCCACTCTGTATCTCCTACCGTTCCCAAGATCTCAATGGTGAGAGCCAAATTTGAAACGCCTGGTATAAAACTTTCTTCTGAAGATTCCCATTATTCATATTTTTAAGTAATTTATTTAGAAGTACAAAAACCTAAATTAAAAAATACTCTCCACACTACTAATTTTTACTCTTTTAAATAATAAATATGTAAAACTGAATGATATTGATTTGAGAAATTATCAGATAAAAACTGTAATTCTATAATATAAAAATATACTAAACATCATTGAACTTTGATGTAGTTTTTGCTGAATAAAATGACAAATAATACCTAGTATTAATATTAATTAATCAAACTGAGTTAGTTATTGCTCAAAAATTATAGGTTACTGTACTCAAATAGATACACTTTAGGGACACATAAATAGAGATACAAAGTAATATTTTAAATACGTGTACTAACCTTTGACTGTTATAAATATCGATAATATTAGTGGTACTTGCAGGAGGACTAGAAAATGATATTAAGTCCTCAGTATCATTGGCACTACTATTTTTTCTTTGAGATACTGGTGGTGGTGCTATAAGTGAACTAGATGTTGTACTGAGTGATGTTCCAGGTCTTGGCCTTGATTTACTTGACTGTCTTTCATATTTTGATTTAGAATCTGTTTCACTCATAGATGAAGTTCGAGACACTAAAAAATATTGTAAATAAATCAAAACAAGAATGTCTTGCAATCAATACTATTACCTAATGGTGTCTTCTTTATATTTTGTTCATTACAATGAATTTTACCTAGTTCCTGTAATCTTTTATTCCTAAATTGCTCTAAAGCAAGAGATTCCAAACTAAGAGCCTGGGCCCTTTCAAGATCTTCTTTAAACTTTTTATCGTAATCAGTCATGTTTACTTTCCTAACAATCCTTGAAATACTAAAATTTGATTAAAAATAAACAAATAATACCGATTGTATCCCGATATTTTTATATCAACTATACACATTAACTTGTCCAAAGGTTATTAATAATAGAAAAAATGATATTCATATTGACGTGGCAATGTCTTAATTGCAAAATTTGCGCTTTGAACTTATAAATACAACATATTAATTCAGTTAAGCATGAAAATTAAAGTAAAATCTACGTACATCACAAAATTTTGAAATAATATACAGATCTAACCTCAATGTGTAATTTAAAATAAAATTCAGGAAGATTCAGTGTCATATAAATGTCAAAATTTTCAACCAATTATTTTAAAAATCCCTAGATACCTATGGAGATTTTGGCGCACAAATTTGAAAAATATAAAATATATTATAAAATAATTGACTTTATGGTTTAATTTTTAATTTTTAGTCCAAAATCGCTATGATTTAGATAAAAGTTGAAAATTTAATATTATGTTTCTAATAGATATATTTTTTTTGTTATTAACATAACGATCTCTTACATTTTCTTTTGTGAACTATATACTTAAATAAAAAAATAGCATTTCAAATCAAGAAAATCATTGAAAAGGAACAGCAAATTTATATTACATACAGGAGTCTGGCAATAGTGCCTCGGGCATCTGTACCTCCTAGAATAAAAAACTTGGGAATTTTGTTAAGTTCAAACCTAAAGTATGAGGATGTATTTCAAGAAAATATTTTAACTTCTATAGGGTGGCTCAAAAAAGAGTGAGTGGATCGGGATCAATTTTTAAATGGAACACCCTGTATATTATTACATTTTTGGCTTCCTTTCGGATCACTTTACATAATTCTAAGGTATGAGTAAATATATTTTAATAATTTTAGAGATATTAATAAATAAATAAAAAATATATATTTTTCAACCTTCCTGAAATAAATATTACAAATACAAGAATTAACCTGAAATCAAAACTATATTAGGTATTTACTTTAGATGATCTGTACTTACTTTGCTATAATATCATCCTAAATCATACTGGGTGTTCAAAATTCTACGCCAAACTTCTTTCAATAAAATTCTTCGCCAAAACTAATAAAATATAAAATAATTTTTCTTTTTTATTTTTTAAATGAAGCTCTCTGTTATATTATTTTTTATTAAACGAACAGATTTTTTTTTGATTAACAGAACATTTTTGATTAGATCATTAGATGAACATTGATTTTTTGTATTTAAAGTATTTCAAAATTTTTAATAGTTTCACAGATACATGCAGTATTATTTCATATCATAGATTTAGTAAGAACAGATATCACATTAGACATTTTAACCCGATCAAACTTTCATATGGTTTTTTCAACGGTAAAAAACGAGAGAAAAATCATTGGGAGGCTTTGAAAAAAAGTATTTCAAAAACCACCCGATATAGATTATGACATTACAGCTCGCATTACAGTGCCTATGAAATGCGAATTTTATGACAAACCCATTAAACAAAATAAAACATTTTATTAATATTTAAATAACCCTATATTATTAACAATATAATAACTGATAATAAAAGTGCGGTACACAAAATACTTGCATTGAACTAAAAATAAGTTTTAAAATTAATGTAACATATAATATATACCAAAATGTACATCCCGCTGACCTCTCTCTCCTCTCGCCAATTGCCGCTCATTATTTGGGACACTTGTGCTTGTTTTATGTTTGTTTTAGTGCAGGAAATTTATGCACATTGGGTTTTTGAGTTTTTTTTTGTTTCGATTGTTGTAGTTTGAGTTTGCGTATTTATTGTTTTTTTCTTTCTGTTGCACCTATGATTTATTTCTTTCAAATAGTTATTAGTTATTTGTTAGAGTGTCTAGCACACACAGCAATTGAATTTGCTAGGTGCTATGAAACTATAAATATGAAACTATAAATGTAAATGTAATGTAACACTGTATTTTATCACAAAAATGAAGGATACATGTCTCATAATAAATTAATAAAATAAACAAGTTAGCAGCGTATAAATTTATTAACTGCTGCAACGATTTTAATTAATATTAGTTTAATGAAATATTAATTGGTAGTACTAGAATATTAACATTTATTATAATTAAAATTTATTTGCATTTATATATAAACTGCTAATACACTATTTATAAAAGTAAAATTAAAATGCCTGAGAAGTATTACGATTTATTGGGAGACAAATTTATTCAGACTTGTGTTAGTTTATTTTGCTAAATTCTTAAATATATTTAAAGGTTTGTTGTTAAAATATTGTAATGTTATACCTGCCCATGTGCTTCGAATAATAAAACAACCTGTATATGTTATATTATAATAAAAAAAAATTATGTATTTACGACTATTTTTAAAAAGTGCCTTATTATTACCCCATATTTTACAGAAAATATAGGAGTGGAAATATCGAATGTGGCTCAAAAGTGGCTCACCCCCTATAACTTTTTTATTTTTTCAGAAAAAAAAAAACTAAATTTGGTATGTTAGTATATGACCTAAATTTGGATTGATACGTATTCATTTGTTTTCGGTTACTTCCTGTTTTACCGGAAATGATTAAAACTTTTGGTTTTTAAATAGTAGGTACTCTCGGTATTTTTTTTAGCTTTATTCAATAAAAAATGACATTCTATAGAATGACATCATATGTTTTGTGTGTTATACTTTTGACATTTTCGGATATGGTTAATTTAAAATTTTAACATACGATTCATAAAGACAATTTGACTTGAAATACCAAGTGTGCGTAGTACCAAATTATTCGTGAAAAATGCTTTTTCCAAATATGCTAATGAGCCATGCACCCTCGTTCCATTTGAGAAATTGAGATATGATCAAAAATACGATTTGGGCATCTTTTAACAGACCAGGACAAGAGACTAAAAACATTAAACGTTCAAATCTATTTTTCTAAGGCTCCTTGATTAAAAATTAATGTTTTTAATACAGCAATAGCACTCTAGATTGAAGTTTAAAATTCGATTTTTTGAGCGAACATGTCAAAATGTTGATTTATGGTATGTCATTCTAATTAGAGTGTCATTTTCTATCGAATAAGGTAAAAAAATACCGAGTATGCCATTTAAAAATCAAAAGTTGAAGTAATTTCCGGTGAAACAGGAAGTGACCGAAAACAATTGAATGCGTCCAATCAATCCTAACTTATATTATATACTAACATACCAAATCTTGTTTTTTTTATCTGAAAAAATAAAGAAATTATAGGGGTGAGCCACTTTTGAGACGCACACGGTAGAACATTTTTGACACACTGGGCCACTTTAATTGTATATAGATTAAATGACAAAGTTTTTGCCTAACTAGAGATTATTATAAATTAATTAAGTATGAAATTGTATAGTTAAACATATACAAAACTATCTGCAAATAATATCGTTTAGGTTAACTTTAACTTAGTGAAAGTATACAAGCATATCCCAATATATCCCTGTATAAATTAGTTTTTTTCCAAAAAGAAAACAGTTATGAAATAATTATGACTGTAAACAATTTATTTTTTTAAACAATTCATAAGTTTTTTGCTTCAATTAAAATTTTCATACAATTGAAATAACTCTCATATAGTAAATACCTCGGTAGATACCTACTAATAATATCAACAAATTGATTACAAAAAATTAATATTATTTAAAAAAATCTACCTATTGTTTGCTTCCGTCACGCCAAATTTTCATGAATGCCAATTAAGAATTCATAATATATATACAATTTTTGGGCATATAAAAGATGTTAACCTAGTATATTGAAGGTCTAGTTCTAATAGGGAATTCATAAGTATGTGGTGTTAGGTGTATTGCTAGAAAGTCTTCAATAATTGATCTGTAAGTAAATATTTTGATATTTAATATTTTCACAATTTCACATAATATGTTACTAATTTCACATTATAAATATCTTCATTTTATTGAAAAAACCCTGGATATTTTACCATTTGCCACTGAGAGGGAAATCTAGATTTTTTTTTTGTAAAATATTTTTGTGAAGTGGCCCTCTCGCGGTTTCAGGATATATCTTCTTCCTTCCTCAAAAGCAAAAAACCAAAAAAATATAGAAAACAAAACAAAAATGTCTAGTCTATTTAAAATTAATAGACGTGTCTTTAAAAAACTAAAATGTTCCTGGTATACCGGGTGCGTCTCAAAAGAGGCTCACCTCTATAACTTTTTGATTTTTTCAGATAAAAAACGAGATTTGGTATGCTAGTATATGACATAAATTAGGATTGATTGACGTATTCAATTGTTTTCGGCCACCTCCTGTTTCACCGGAAATGACTACAACTTCTGATTTTTAAATGGCATCCTCGGTATTTTTTTACTTTATTCGATAGAAAACGTCACTCTGAATAGAATGACATATCATATGTCAACTTTTGACATTTTTGCCTAAATCGTTTATTCGTGTTAAAACACTAATTTTTAGTCAAGGAGCCTTGGAAAAATAGATTTGATCGTCTAATGTTTGTAATGTTTTGTCCTGGCCGGTTAAAAGAATCCCAAATCGTATTTTTTATCATATCAAATTCTCAATTTTTTTTAAATGGAACGAGGGTGGCTCATTAATATATTTGGAAAAAGCATTTTTTACGAATAATTTGATACCACACACTTGGTATTTCGAGTCAAATTGTCCTTATGAACCGCATGTGCAATTTCAAATAACCAATATTCGAAAATGTCAAAAGTTGACATATGATATGTGTTATTTTCTCTCGAATAAAGTAAGAAAATATCGAGGGTGCCATTTAAAAATCAAATGTTATAGTCATTTCCGGTGAAACAGGAAGTGACCGCAAAAAAATTGAATACGTCAATCAATCGTAATTTATGTCATATACTAACATACCATATCTCGTTTTTTTATCTGAAAAAATAAAAAAAAATATATATAGGGGTCAGCCACTTTTGAGACGCACCAGGGTATAGTAGTTACATTTATAGATTTTAATGTGTGCCAATGTCATGTGTCTTCTCGGTAGACCAGTAATACCAGACAGTATGAAATAATAAACGATATATTTGCTTGATTTCTGTATTTTTTATTATGACCCGGGATAATGTATTAATCTCGGTATTAATAGACAACAGACATATACAGGGTGTCCAATATTCAGTGAACATAGAACTACCACAGGAACTACTACGTATTTTTCAAATCAAAATAAGTTCACTGGACACAATTTACCTCTGTACAAAAGTGCTTCGTTTGTTAGAGAGTATCAAACTTAAAAA